TGGGTCTTGAAGGAGGCAAGGAAAGGGGTGAGGCGGAGGGACTGTGGGTTGGAATTCCAGAGAGTGGGGGCAGAGTGGCTGAAGGCCTGCTCGCCAATGGTGGGGCAGGTTAAGCGGGGTACGTGAAGCAGGCAGGAGCCCGCTGAGCAGAGGGAGTGGGCAGGTTGGTAGGGGGTTAGGAGGTCGCAGAGGTAGGGAGGGAACGAGGCCACGGAGAGCTTTGAAGGTGAGGACCAGGATCTTGAACTGTATCCTCTGTGTGATAGGAAGCCAGTGGAGTCAACTGAGGATGGAGGTGATGGGGTCACGGAGCCTGGTGTGGGAGAGAACATGCTTGTAGAGTTCTGGATGATCTGTAGCCTATGGAGGGAGAAGTTGGGAGGCCGAAAAGCAGGGAGTTTGCATAGTCAAGCCTGGAGGTTATGCATGCGGCGCCCTGCAGTATGAGACAATGGCGGAGCCGGGCAATGTTGTGGAGGTGGGGGAAGGCAGAGAGAGTCATGACATGGATGTGGGGTACAAAGGATAGTTGAGGGTCAAACAAGATGCTAAGGTTCCGAACTGGCTTAGTGAGGTGAAGTGTGCATCCTTGGATGGTGATGCTGTCAGCACCTGAGATGTGGAGGAGCTGACGATAGCCAATCAGGAGGGCGTTGGTCTTGTTGACGTTCAACTGACGAAAGATAGCTTTCATTTGATAAGACATTCTGTCAGGCAGCGGTCTTGGATTCAAGGTTGGAGACCGTTTGATGTCATCCACATACATGTGGAAGTTGACCCCTTATCTGCGGATGATATCACCAATACGGAGCATATGGATGTTGAAGAGGAGGGGACCAAGGATAGAGCCCTGAGAAATGCTGCACAAGACAATGCGGGGCCTAGAGGAGAAACGGATTGTGGAGATGAAGTGGAGATGGTGTGAGAGAGACAACTCTCAATGTTAAATTCTCTAAAATAATATTCCATCAAAGGCTGTACTACCTGAATAGCACTTCTACATAGCAAAAAAATTGAATTACAGTAGGAACGGTAGGGGGGAGCGAGACCATGGAGGGCTTTGAAGATGAGGACCAGGATCTTGAACTGTGAGATGGGAAGTCAGTGGAGTCAGCCAAGGACGGGGGTGATAGGGTCACGGAACCCGGTGCATTGCTCATTTGGTGCAATGAACCAAATGACTTCTTTCTGTGCAGTAATTTCAATCCTATATTCCACAGTGTCTGTGTTAGTGACACACATCGGCATTCAAAAATATGTGATTACATTAGTTGAGAATGTTGACCCACCCGGTTGGAAAGGCACACCAAGTTGATGACTGTGGTTATGCAACTTGGCAAGAACCCAGGGAGCTGCCAGGAATGAAGGAGGCCATAAGTCATGACAGGAAAAAGAACAAAATTTCCACAGGTGAAGCAATATACAACACATGGAAGGGTCTGCAACGCAGTTTCCTAACAGAAGCGACAAATGTCAAAAGAGTCAAGCAGCCCAACAGCAGTGTGGACGTCAGGCTTTGCTGCCCACATAGACAAATAACGACCAAAATGAGATGATAAAGAGCAAAGCTCTTCTCAGGAGTGAAGCAGCGAGCTGCTGTATGGCAGGCTGATGGCGCCTCACACACGCAAATCAGTAAGCTGCTGGGTCGAGTTATCTGGATGACTTCCTGCCAACTGTGGTCTGAGCACCCAGTGCCCATTCCAGGATAAACAATCTCCGGGCGTGGCTCCACAGTCAGGATAAACCTATGCATTCCAACCTACGCAGACAGAACGACACTGAAACTCTTTCCCTCTGCAACTGGATGAAACTAGCAGCCAGTGGCACAACTGTGGCCACATATTGCTGAGTTGTGCAGGGAATGGTCACTGATAAATAACTGCAGATGCAATTCACACAAGTTGCATTTCCTCCATTCACCTCCCAAGCAGTTTCCAGTTTTCAGCTATTAATGTACATTCACCATAATAATAATCTTTCCATTTGATATAGCGTCTTAGCATCATTGAGATGTCTCAAAGCAATTCACCGAATATATTGTAAAGTAGGTTGACTGTGTATTTTGTGGGTGAAACGCAACAGCCAATTGAGCACAGCAATGTCCCACAAACAATCGTGGAATGAGTGACCACATTTTTTCTTTTCTCAAGGGATCATTACCTCCGGAAAACAATCCAACAGTTGACTACCTGGGTTCTTACATACTGCTAAGTAAACAGGCGTGTAAAGTAAGGAAAACTTGCCCTGGGTTTCACCCCGCACAGGAATCAAACCCAGGTCCTCTTGCTTACAAGGCAAGCATGGACTAGGGGACTCCACTACAATCTTAAACTCAGAACTGGGAAGGTGAACATTTGATGAATTGGTGCGATTATATGGCATACACTATCCAGAGAGAAAGACAGTTGAGGCCGACAGTGATCGCAGGTTCACATTTGGAATGAAAGCACCAATGGAGGGGTATAAGTGAGATTTCCAAAATGATATTTTTCAAACTTTGGGACCAACCAGTGTGACCAAAATAGTCTTTTCTGATGCTATGCATTCCTATTCAAATAAGCCTATTTGCATTAGATGCAGCATCTTCTTACATTGAAATGTCTCAAAAGTTTTTCACGTAATAAGTATTGCGTCTGGAACATGGGCAAAGATGCAGCTGATCCCACACACAGCAGGGAGACGAACACCAAAATGCTATCCCTATGCAGTTACGTGTGGATGGGAAGGGCTGAGTGAGGAATGGTCTGAAGTATTAATTTTTATGGGAGCCACACTGTGATATCCAAGATCCATTCCAAAAATCTTCTGATAATAAGTACATTCCAGTCTCCGGTAAGATAAACTCAGTCATGGCTCACATCGGGAAATCTAATGATGTGATCATAGCCAAAGATTTATTTTGAACGAGCCTGGTATTGGGTGTTCCATTTCCACAAACAGCTTCTCACCATTTTTACTTGTTATTTGTTGGTAAATGACAGGCAAGCAAGCTAATTTTCCCTCATTGTTTTTGTGGGCTTGTGGTTATCACACCACTGCGCTGCAGCCAGCTGAACTCGACTGTTTATGGAACAAGAAGATTTAAGACTGATGCTTGCCCTGTGATCTAGCCTTTAGTCTGGAGGAAATTCTTCCGCACCTCAGGGGAATATTTCAAAGGGGAAAAGCAAACAAAATACTCAGCATGCAGTGCAATCTCCTTTAAAACATTGCTACTACTCCCAACTAGAGCCTTGCAGCCCCTGACTTGAAAGTGACAGAACTAGATTCACAAACAAATTAGTGTTATGTGTGTGCTGTATAGATTAGACGTGGATATGTGCATGAGTATTATATTTAGATATGTATGTACACACAATTATGTGAATATCTAACTCTATGTGTACATGTTCTTCACATCTTTCTCGTGGCTCCAACAATAAAAACTGATATAATATTTCCACATTGTCCATTCAGTCTGCATGTGAACTGTCTGAAAACGCAAGCAGCCACCAGTGGCATATAATAAGGTACTACATCCTAATTTCTCAACCTTCTGTTCGGATTTATTTTCTGCTAGTTCAGAAACAAAAGACGGCTAATCACAAGATTGTGAACCTGGATGGGGGGTGGGATATGGGATACCAACTCTGTGGCCATTTCACTCACAGTACCTTGTAGAGTCATTAGAATTTATACATGAACTCATGTCCATGTATACATAAACACACATGTATAAACAGTAAAACTTGCATAAGATTTTTGGGGCACCTGGTTATAACACACTATGAATGGATGGACATTCTGTTCAGAGTTTCCTGACTTTAGTCTTTCTGTTTGGGACTCTGAATAAAGCAACAGTTTTGAAATGAACGTATTTTGTTTGAGTGAATCACTTTCAGAAACCGAGCCAAAGGAAAATTCACGCAGGTGAACAGAGGCTGCTCAGAGCTACACAAAACTTTCTTTTCAAAAAAGAAAACCTCCTTAGAGGAAATGCGTCTGAAGAAGTGGAGAGACTGAACCCTGTCCAAGCTGTTAAATTCTTCTTTCTGAAGCAGTCATCAAGTAAAGATGCCAAAGCTCCCAACGGAAAAAATGAGAGGAACCATGCACCAGAAACAAAAACTCACTGACTTGCAGTCTCTCCGCTCTGCAGTAGCTCCCAAAAACAGCCCTCAGATTTCAAACAACTTCCTGTTTAGGCTCCCATTCTGGTTGATTACAATAGCCAGGAACCCTAATGGATATCCTCACTTCCAGCTGAGAAGGTACTATTTGTAAGTCCCAGCTGTTTTGGAGCTCCTGCTAGAGTGGAGAGAGTGTGAGTCATTGAGTTTTCATTTCAGGGCATGGTTTCTTTCATTCTTTTAATCGGAAGTTACACTAGACGGACAAGGATCGCTCCATCACGTCCATGTGGCTGACTAGCAGATGGGAAACATCATAGACAACTGAAGGCTGCGAAGGGCTAAAACCGATGAAAAGATTGAGAGGGAAGTTCAGTCTTTGTAACACTGGGTTTTACTCAGAAATCTGTCAAACTTTAAGTACAGAGATCTGGGATATTTATTTGAGATAGATGATAGACCTTTAAACATGTACTTGCCATAATAATCCTTGCATTTGGTATAATAATAATGTTCCTTGCATTTGATATAGCACCTTATCATGTCATCTCAAAGCCCTTCAGATTATACTGTAAAGTGAATTGACTGTATATTCTGTGGGCGAAATGGTACCTTTTCCATTGAGAGGTTGTCTGAAAGTGTTTCACAGGCTTGTGCAGTGACTGTATTTGGTAGGGGATTGCCTCAAAATCCAAGTTTCAGCCCTAGTCCAATTGAGATTCAAGTACAGTTTCTCCGTGTCATTTGCAACAAGCAACAACTTAAAAAATCAGGAGGAATCCACAAGCCAGAAAGAGTCACTAAATCTGACCCATATTTCTGCTCATCTACAAATAAATGTGCAGCAAATCTTAACCTTAGCAGCATGTCTTCCTCAGTCAGGCTTACCTTGAGTGCGCAGCAGTAGTCTGTCGGGGCCTTGTACTTGCTGCGATAGTCCTGCCCATAGTATACGTTCACGTGGTCCAACTGAATGAAACAGGCCAGGTCCCGAGAGGTCTGGAAAACAGAATCATAACCAGTCAGATTGACCTACATTCTGTTCACCCCAGAGTAACCTCTGGCAAAATAAAACAACCCTGGTAATCATTTAGACTTGTGTTATTTTAGGTGGGGGATGAGAAGGATCATATTCAGTTTTGCATCAGTTGATTGAAAGTAAAAGTGACGTTTCTAACGTTTACATTGACCTCTCTGCTGAGGCGTAGGTATTACAATAATACCAATGCCCAGCTTTACGCTCTGCCAGGTCAATTGCGGAATGCAGATGTGAAATCAGTTCTTCACAACAAGCAGCAATCAAACCCATAAATTTCAGAGTCAGCTTTAAAGAGGGAAACACATTCCCAACGTCATCCTCTCTGAAAGTATTTTGTTTAAATAATGGCACACAGACACTGGAATGGAGGACTCACGAGTCCCACAACGTGAGGATCTGAAACAATTAAAAGCAGATGCCTGAAGCCCTGGATTAATGACATCTCCACAGATCCCTGCTTTGTTCCCATCTTGAAGCTCAGAAAGCCAAAGTGACTGCCTGCTGCCCCTCCCCCTCCCCACAGCTCATATCAGTCTTCACGTATTCAATTTTACATTTTTCAAGGAGGGTGTTTGAAAGGATGAGCCTAAAACATTAAAAGACAAAATGAGATAAGAAAGTGTATCACTTTCAAATATAATACAAATGGTAAAAGCATATTCCTACAGGTGTAACAATATTATGAGAGCAAGCAGTAGAATAAATGGGTTTACATCGGAATCTTAAAGTGGAGCTAAATCATCTTCAACCATCAAAGTGCTGCACAAGTGTGGAGTCCTGTAGCTCAGTGGTTAGAGCACTCGCTTTGCAAGTGAGAGACCTGAGTTCAATTCCAGGCAGAGGGCGAAACCTTGGGCAAGTTTCCTTACTCCACACAGAGCCTAATAATAATCCCTCCAAAACCAAAAACAATAATAAATTGGTCATTTTCAATCTACGACTGTTTGTGGGACATTGCTGTGCGCAATCGGCTGTCGCGTTCGCCCACAAATATACAGTCAATTCACTTTACAGTGTGTTCTGTGAAGTGCTTTGGGACGTCCTCCCGACGTGAACAGCGCTATATCAAATGCAAGGATTATTATTATTATTTGTCAAACACTGGGGTTGTTCATCACTGACCAGATCAATGAAGCATCAAAGAGGCACTGCCCTATCTCCCCCTCTGCACACTGACACCAATCTCCTTCCCCTTTCACTCAGTCCATTTCCTCAAATATACATTGGCCTCCATACATTATTATATTTCCTGACCCTGTGATTACCTGGAGAATACATGTAGAATTTGTCTAGGTAAACCCTAAAGCTGAAAATGCCACCAGGTCTTAGCCTGAGAAAGCATTTTATCTCAAAATGTTATTGTGTAGAATTATAGATATTTCAATTCACAAACCTGGAATAAAACGTTCAGATATATTAAAGCAGCAGGACAAGGCTGAAAAGGCTGAGAAAGGTATGTCTAAAACAGACAGCAGGAAGTATTTCTTTACAGAGAGCAATTAGCAGCTGGAAAGGCTTACCAGGATGTGGTGGGAGAGGCAGTAATGGGAAGGTGATAGTAATGGGTTAAAGGATGTTCTTAACCTAAACCTTTCTCATGATAAAATTGCACATCCCAAAATGTTGGTATCAATGAAGAGCTGATCAGTGGGATAAGAACTGAAACATACCACAAAAATCAAGTACAGCAAGAAACAGACTGAAACACCAAAGGATTTGAGATGAAGGATCAGCCACAGGGGCTCTTGTCGCAAACTGTGGGGTTTTCTTCCTAAGCCTCGACCATGTGCGATAGCAATGTGTGTCAGGTATAGTTGACCAGTGGAAATTTCCAGGCATGTGCTCTACCTTCAATTTCACAATGTGAATCTCACCTATGACTGATCAAACCTGAATGGGCTGCTGAGTCTCACGAGGAATGGAACAACCTCTGTGTAATCAGAACAAAGAACGGAACAGTACAGTATAAAGGGGAGGAGGACAAATGAGAGGTACCAGAAATCAAGTCATAATCCAAACTGGTCAATTATCAAGACATCTTATCATTCAGTAAGATATCATGAACATTGAAAAATAAGTGAAACACTGCTGACTACATAAAACTGATGACACTGTAAATTGCAACCTCAACCCACCTCCTCTCTCTCTCTATGGAGGAGGAAGAAAATACCCTGAACCCAAAGGTAATCAAGGAAACAAAAGTCAAATTTCCCCAAAGTGAAATTTAATCAGCGGCTTTATAGACCATGCTCACCTCCATCCAAACAAACCCCAGTAACAGTTAATGATAATCCTCGCTTTTGATATCACATTGTTTAAAATGCCTCAAACCGCTTCACAGGGTTTTACTACAGTTTTAGTGACTGTACTTTGTTGGCAAAACACCAAGATGCATGGGATGATTGCTCATCTATTTAACCAATCCCAAAGACCCTGAAACTGAACACTTATCCAATTAGTTCCTGATAAAGCTAATGCAGACCTCATCAACTGTCTGTTGCTCATACCATGCTCTGGGGGCGGAAACAATTCTTTCAATCCCTGCCCTCGGTTGACACAAGTCAGTTTATTACAGGCTACAGTCATCACCCGCAAATCAAATTGCTATGACAATTTCTATGACAAAGCACTAAAGTAGCTGGGCACTGGGAAAGTCTTGTAATCTGATGACTAAGACACACTGCCTACACACTTTAATATTAGTAACACAGACTGGTCATTAAGATACATCTGCCACCAACCTGAATGTTTAGTGACATGAGATCCATAGAATCATCTGTTCACAGAGTCAATAATTCAGACTCAAGAACAGTTACTTCATCCAACAAAAGAAGGCTTTCAGGATCAGTCAACAAATATGGCAAAGGACTCGACACACTTCCAATTGCTGAGAAAAGGAAGATACGGACTCCAGCTTTAGAGTTTACCTATACAAATTCTCCTTTGGTTTTATTTCACATAGAACGAATGCCAGCATGTCATTCAAAAATGATTACAAGCAGACCACAAGCCAACAGTGAACACAGAATAACTGGTAGAAATCAACAATCACTTATTTTTAATAAGTCATGGTAACTGTTCTTGAGACTGAATTATTGACCCTGAACAGATGATTCTATTTGATATTCAAATCACCGAGTGTTTACAAATGCTGGATAGTGGTATAACTACTCTTGCATTTTTTTTAAAAGGCAATATCATGAAAGTCAGCAAGTAAAGACAGTCGTCTGCATAATTCTGAATTTGAAGATACCACAAAAAATTTCGGGTCTCATGCCCTTGTATTAAAAATGTGTAAACCTCTAACAGAACTGTGATGGGAAGATACCCAAAACTGAAGACATACATGATGAAAGCACCACTTGATCAATCCAGTCAAATGCACCAGTGAAATAGGTAACAGTTCTGAGGAGATTTAGAAAATCACAATGTAGAAAAGCCCTTCAAACAGCGAGAAGTTGGAATAGATAAGCACACAGTCAAGCAAAGTATAGATAATCCACAACTTTAAATTCCTGCCCTTCCACGTCCTGGGAAATATATTAAAATGTAGAAAGAATAAAGGAAAATATATTGACCGGACACAGCTACACTGTGCGGCAGAAGACAATTATATTGCATGGCATATTATAACTGAGGTCAAAAGCAAAGCAGAATGACATTTTGATGAAGACTCATATTGGCATCTAATCTTACAATAGCACAAGTTCATACAGAGTTGCTATAGATTTGAATTTGTTTTCAATATACAGAAATATAGACTTTTATCTGGAACTGACAGTTGTATCCCTGTCAGAATTAAAGGTTAGAGATTGTGAGCTGACAGTCTGAACTCCAAACTGATCAAACTATAATGTGATGAGGTGTAAAGAGAGATTGAAGAACTGTCTGGGAAGAAGGTAGAAAAAGGGGGAGGTGGCTCAGGTTAAATAAACCCACTCTATTAAGTATGTGGACAAGCTCAGTATATTTTACCCTGCCAGCAAATAGAACCAGAGAGCAGAAATGGAAAACAGAGAAAAGTAAATTTAAAACAGATATCAGGAATAATGTTCACGTCAGGATTGGTGATTATTATGAATTTATCAAACAAGAATAGAGAGGCAAAAACACTGGGGGTGATGAACTTCCATGAGTCAATTGGTGTTTTCTTACAGTCATCCTCACTAAGACATGGGTGCTGATGTAGATGTGCTGGTGTATTGTTCCAAGGATGATGAAAATATATGAATATATAAAATATAAAGATGTTGGCCGCAATACTTTCTCAATACAGTTAATTCACTTTACAGTATATTCTGCTTTGAGACGTCTCAACGACATGATAAGGCGCTCTATCAAATACAAGGATTATTTTTTACTATTAAGTAGATTAAAAGTTTAGAGAATCTTGGCATTGGGGGAGGGAAGGGGTGCGCGGAAGGAAAATCACAGCTGAGCCACATGTGTGCTTTGTAACAGGGATCACAGGACAGCGATTGGGAATATAAACCCAGAGTAACTTTTCCCCCTCTCTCCATAACCCAGTAACACTGAGATGAATTGGAGCTCGTGAAGATCAGTTGACTTGTATAGCCCAGGGGTGGATGCAGAAACGGTATGGCTCAGGTCCATAACAGCAATGCCTTACCAACTGAGCCATCAGGGAGATGGGGACAGCTTTAAAACAACACTAGGCGCCAGGCATCCTCTGGATGCCTCTCTAATTAGACTGCTACTGTAAACAGCGGATCTGCAATATTACATCGCAAACTTAATTAAATTTTAACATCAACATGATAGTCTGTAAGCTGAATAGTTTAAGTATGTGGAGAAGCTCAGTATATTTTACCCTACCAGTGCTGGGAGGCACAGTGTTATCAACTGAAATGTAACTGTAATCTGAGAATAATCAAACACCAGTATCAGCAAACGGAAATAACTTCTTCCCACGACTGTGTCTGGTTTATGCTTTTTAAAGCCCTTCTGAAGAACTGTTTAGATACTTAATCAGCATTTCAAAACTGCTATCTCGCAGCACTATTAATAATTTGTTTATATGAATTTGATATCCATGCAACAACAACAAATTACATTTATATAGCACCTTTAATAATAATATTCCTTGCATTTGATATAGCGCCTTATCACGTCTTCAAGACGACTCAAAGCGCTTCACCGAAGTGAATTGACTGTATATTTTGTGGGCGAAACGCGGTAGCCAATTGCACACAGCAGTGTCCCAAAAAGAGTCGTGGATTGAATGACCAAATTATTATTTTTTAATTTTTCTTTTTTTGAAGGGATTGTTACCCCAACTCTTCCCTTCACAAGCTGCAGACCATCCAAAACTCCACAGCTCATGTATTCTCAAGCACCAGATTCTGTGACCGCATCACTCCCACCCTCGCCCGACTCCACTGGCTCCCCATCCCCCAGAGGATCAAATTCAAGATCCTCGTCCTCACCTTCAAGGCCATCCATGGCCTCGCCCCCTTCTGACCTGCTGGCTTCCTTGCCTCCTTCAAGGCCGGTCTCAAGACGCTCCTCTTCGATCGCACTTTCAGTCACCCTCCCACCTCTCTGCCTTCCCTCACCCCTAACCCACCCCTCCCCCATACTCGGGTCCTGACCCCTGACTGACCAACTCCTTGGGATGTCCTCGGGATGTGAAAGGTACTCTATAAATGTAGTTTTGCTATTGTTGTTGTTGCAAACTACAGGATTCCACCGGACTTTCATATCAGAAGGATGTCCCAAGGTGCTGAACTGTTAAAGGTCTGTACCCAAGATGGGAGTATCAGAATCAGGACTGTAAGGAGAGTGTGGCTGATGCACAGTCAAAGAGGAAAGTGTTGAGATGGGTCAACACTGACTGCCAAGTTCACACACAAATGAAGGCCAATTGATGAGTATTGGAGGATGACTCGTGAAATAATACCTTCAGTTTTTTTGGAAAGAGAAAAGCTAAAAAAGAGTGTCTAGGAAAGAAAAAGGGAAGAAAGTTTGATTAAAAAAAAACTTAAAACAATAAAAATAATCCTTGTATTTAATAGGTACAGCAACTTATCATGGCATTGATAAAAAATGTTTATTTGCTTCATGGCTAGTTATAGGATATTGCTGTGCTCAAATTGGCTGGCGAACATGGCAAAATCCCACAAACAGCCATGAAATTAATGACCAATTTTTACCTAGAGCACTGGTTGGCCAGGCCAAGGAGAGAAACTTCTCTTTCGTAAGATAGAAAATACAACAACTTGCATTTATGTAGTGTCCTTCACAATGACTCGGAATCTAATACATGGTCACTGCTCTTTACATTGAAGTGCTTTGAGACGCCCCTGATTTATAAACACTAAACCAAACGTAAGGAAAATAAGGAAAGAGAAGAATAGCACATAGAAAAATGCCAGACAAAGCGGAAGTTTTTCAAATAGCTTAAATGTAGTTCAATTTAGTAGAGTAACATTAATTAATACCATAACTATTCCTGACATCTGAGTAGCCTTGTAACGACCCCATCACACCAGTCCTTGCCAGGCTCCACTGGCTCCCAATTACCGAACGGATCAATTTCAAGATCCTCTCACTCGTTTTCAAATCCCTTCATTCATCTATCCAATTTGCTTACACCCCACTCACTGCCTCCGCCTGGTTGGCTCCCGCCTCCTGTTCATCATTCGCACTTCCACCATCGGTGGCCGTGCCCTCAGCTACTATGCCCTGAAACTGTGGGACTCTCTCACTCAATCCCGCCCACTTGCTAGCTCCTTCGCCACGTTCAAATCCTGCCTAAAGACTTTCCTTTTTGATCGTGCTTACGTGGTCACCTTCCCCCTCCCTCTGGCTCGGGGTCATACTCCGCCACTGGCAAGCGCTCCAGAAGGCTATCCAGCATGAAGAGCGCTAGACAAATGCAAGTTGTTATTGATGTTGTAACTGCAAAATTAGGGGAACTGTCCAAGTCATTGCACGCATGCTAACATTTATTATTGATTTTCAAATAAGACAGATCAAAAGTGCAGTGTTCTCAGGAGCTAATGGTGCTCTCATATTTATTACTTCCATGGGAAATAACAATTCTGCTGTTTTGCATTCACAAATTGACCATACTCTGATTCCAGGGCTGGCTTGGATCACATTATGGCTCGGCTTCATACAGGGCAATGACTATGAGAGTTGGGGGCTCAGTGGCTGCTGGGATGCTGTAATGGGAGCTGGCAGCCCTGAAACTCTACTCCAGTCAATATGAAAACATTTGACAATGTGCTAGCCGTACATTGTTGGATTTCACTAAAGACAGGGAAGCAGATGTGGCAATTCTAAAAAAAAAACTCACAGGAAACAGAGTTTGAACTGACAGAACTGTACAACGTGGCATGAAATCCACTGAATTTCTTTTGTAGTTTTCGTACACGATTCTGACATCTGCCTCATTAAAACAATCACAGCAGCTCTGAAAAAAAACTCCCCCCAAAATTTTCAAAGTTTTACTTTTTTTATTTAAAAAAAAGCTTCCACTCCTCCCAATCATCTTCTAACTTCTTAGCTTTTCCAAAAGATCAGGAGTTTAGGGAAAGTGACAGGCTACATATGTCCAAGCTAACCCATTTTTACTCTCAACAGCACCCCTTTATAAATATTTTCCCCAAAACTCTTTGTAACCGAATGATTTTATGATGCTTATCTTCACAACCTTAATTTATTTTTAGATCGTAATCAACTTTTAAATCGAGGCTTTAATTTAGGTCCCATCTGCCATGTGATTCAGGTCGACATGATCACCCCCCCAGCCCCAACCCTAGACGCCCCAAACCCCACTCTACCAACAGTTTATATTTATCGGCGTCTTTCACATTGGGAGGCGCCTGAACTTGGGGGAGGCTGGGGGGTGGGGACTGAGTGGATGGGATTAAGCAATTGCCAAAAATATTTCAAATAAAAACTTCCTTTCAGTTATTTTAATTTGAATCAAATTAACCCCCCAAAATGTGATGGATATGCTACTAATCTCATTGTTGTTTGCAGGACATTGCTGACACAGATTAACTACTACATTCAACCCCGTAATAAAATTCTGTTCATTTCTAATTAATCCCATTCTACAGAGTACTTTGAGATATTTCTAACATTTGATATGTAAGTAGCTGTTGTAAATCTCAGAATAGAACTTTGCAATGTGCCAATTTGATATTGACATTTCAAGCAGAAACCAGTTAAACCAGTATGCTTCTGTGAAATGGACAGCCACCTGAAGATGGGCACCTAATGCATATAACTTATTTGTAAATCAGATTTATTGCGAATTAGCAGAAAAATGTACTTAATTTATACTTTCAGCTGCATAAAATGTACATTGTCCCAGAACCTAACCCTGCCTGGATGGCACTTATTTATCAAAGCAGCCAAACTGTTGGTCCCATGGGTTTGCTTTGCAAAAAAATAATTTCTCCAGCAGATGAATTGACAATACTGCACTTGACGATACTTGACGTAACATCTACATTTGTTTTCTGGTGTTTGGCAAGTCTCTTGCTCTGTTAAGCACTTTGGGACATTCCAAAGCAGTGCAGGGGGTGGGGGTTGGAACCTGCATTGACGGGGGTGATGTCAGACCCTTTGATGAATGTTAAATCCAGGTCCCGTCTGCCTGGTCAGGTGGATGTTAAAGATCCCATGGCACAAATCAAAAAGAGGAGTTTTTCCCGGTGGCCTCCAGATAAGGTTCTGATGAAGGGTCATGGATCCGAAACATTGACTCACTTTCCTTTCTCCATAGATGCTGCCTGACCTGCTGAGTTTTCCCAGCTCTCTCTGTTTTTGTTACCTCCAGATAATATTGATCATTCACTTTACGGCTGTATGTGAGGCTGTATTTACTTTACGGTTGTATGCCTCTGTGTGCAAAGTGGCTGCAAGGTTCGCCTACAAAATATACAGTCACTGCACTTTAGAGTAAATCTTGCGAAGTGCTTTGAGATGTTTGTCTGACATGAAAGATGCTATATCAATCGCAAGTATAATTTTAATAAGTGTTGTGTCATTTTGCTATTGCTAGAACTGTGAATCGTTAAATATAAACACATCTCCTTGAAGAGCATACCTTTGTCTTTCCTTTAGGTACATAGTAGATTCCAGAGGCTCGAAGCAGAAAGTAACGTTTCTTCCAAGATTTTTTGCCATCCTCTTTCAGCCACAGCAAGCCCTCTATCTCTGGAACAGTCACTGAACCTCCACAGAAAAACTCCTGCAGGGGAAAAAAAATAACACCACTAATTGACATCCGGGAGAGAGAGCACAATAGATAAATTAATGGAGCAGCTATGAAACACACATCCCACACTTGCATCAGATTGGAAATAAACAGTGATAGCACTCTCCTCTGAGTCAGAAAGTTCTGGGTTCAAGCTCCATGTCGGAACTTGAACTCACATTATCTAAGCTGGCACTCCAATGCAGTACTGGGAGCGTATTACATGGTTGGGGGTGCTGTCCTCTGGATGAGAAGTTAAACCGAGATCCCATTTGGCTGTTCAGGTGGACGTTAAAGATCCCATGGCAGCATTTGAAAAGAGAAGGGTTTTTTTTCCTATTGTCCTGGCCAACAATCCCCCAATAAAATTGGTCAATCACTTTAGAGCTGTTTATGGGACATTGCTGTGTGCAAATTGGCTACAGTACTTAACCACAAATAGTCACTCCATTTCACAGTAAATCCTGTGAGATGTCATTTTGGCATTGAAAACGCTTACTAACAATGTTCAAGGGGCTATACTAAATATTTTCATTCACCCATTGCTACATTCTCTTTTGATGAATTTCGTGTTCATCAAGCTGAGGAATAACAAGCAAACAGAAATTAAACTTTTCCCATTTTGAGCACTCAGTATTAGGGTTTTTGTACGTGGCAGTGGAGTTTCCAAAAAAAAATCATCAAACCTAACATGACTTCATTCTTCAATGACTTTGGGCAGGCCTTCTAGCATTGACACAGTGAGAGACTGCCGTTTGGCTTGCATGGCCATGAAGAAACCTGAAATAAGCTGCCAAATATTCCTTTATAGAAGCACACTTCAACAAAAAACGTTCCAACAAGAATATACTAAAATAAACAGTGCACATGTTAATAATGAAGGAGATGGTGGGGGCGTATATCCCAAAAATGTATTATATAAAGTTGGTGAACACAGCAGAGAATGGGAATAGTGAATTTATGCAAAGTATTTTAAGTAGTTGTTTCATTTTGTTTAAGGCTGCAGCTCCATGCATTTCCAATACTAGTTTGTAGTTGTGATAGAAAGTGTGTTTAAGATCTTCTTAGAACATTCATTGCATAACATCCTCCCGACGTGAAAGGCACTATACAAATGTAATCTTGTTGTCGTTGTTGTGTTGATAGCAATGTCCACATTAGAATTTAAAACGGCCATTCACTAATCCTTCTAAATGCTTTCAAGTCTGTCCTTCTGCAGTTACAAGAGCAAACCACAACCTGGCACACATACACCTAACAATTTTATTCTGCCCTGGAAATTTTTAACTGTCTTGTTTATTTCCTCCTTGAGTTTTGTCCACTGATGAAAGCATTTGACTTTAGTTGCTTGCCACTGGGTACGATTCCACGGGTGCTGGATTCCCTCCAGTGTGAGCCTTAAAAAGTGTAATAGTGCTGGTAGGCTCACTGATGTCTGCACATGAGAATTTCCAGCAAAGATCTCCGGACGGGGATCAAAATTTTTCTCTCTAACCCAGGGGCACTGAGACCCCAATTATGAGTGAAATAATAATCATTGCATTTGAAACAGTACCAATGATGGCAAAATATCTCAAAGCACTTCACACCAAAGTGTAAATTGCAGAAAACAACGTCCCAGTCATGAACTGAATGACCAATTTATCTGAAGGAATGTTGGCCAGGACACTGTGAGAAACTCCCTTCTCTTTTTGAATAGTGGCATGGGATCTTCAACAGGTAGACAGTACCTGAGTTTAACATTTCATCCAAAGGATAACACCTCTGACAATGCAGCACTCTCCCAGCACTGGACTAAAGTGTCTGACTAGATTGTAAGTTCAAGTCCTGATGTTGGCTTGAACCCACAACTTTCTGACATAGAGGCGGGAGTACGACCAACTGAGTGAAACCTATTTTGTCATGTCAAACCGGCTTGGAAATACATTTTAGATGAGTGTACGTGCTTTTTAAAAATGTAAATACATTGAATTCTTGGTTATCTGTTGTAGTGAACGTATGATCCACTGAATTATTGTTCATATCCTATATAATAATAATAATCCTTGCTTTGGATATAGAGCTTTTCACGTCTTAGACGTCTCAAAGCGCTTCACAGAATAGACTGTAAAGTGAATTGACTGTATATTTGTGGGCGAAATGCGGCAGCCAATTGTACACAGCAGTGTCCCACAAACAGTCGTGGATTGAAGTGGCCATTATTTTTTTTCTTGAGGGATTATTATCAGGTATGTGGAGTAAGGAAACTTGCCCAAGGTTTCACCCTGCTGGGAATCGAATCCAGGTCTCTCGCTTACAAAGCAAGTGATCTAACCACTGAGATACAGGACTCCTTATGTTTTGTGGGAGAGACATAGAGAGAGAGAGACTGAAAGAGATATGAGAGAGAGAGAGAGAGAGAGAGAGAGATTGGGAGTGTGTGTGTGTGTGTGTGTGTGTGTGTGTGCATGTGCGGGTGTATCTGACCCTGGTCCCAGTGCCTTGGGACTTGCTCCCCATGTGAAAGGCTCCTATATATAGATGTCAATGCGTATTGTGTTGTTGTATTCACTGTGTTTGTGTCTCTGTGTCCAGTTTATATAGTTTATGAGCATCACTCAGTTTACAGCACCATTGCCTGTAAGTCAGAAGGTTGTGGGTTGAAGCCCCACATTGAGACTTTGAGCTCACAGTCAAGACTGATACTCTGATATAGTGCTCTAGATGCACTATTTTGGTGGAAGTGCTAACCTTCAGAAGAAACTTTAAACCAATGTCCTGTCTGCCTGTTCAGATGGATATTCAAGATCCCATAGTACAACTTGAAAGGTGTTCCTTCCAGTTTCTTAGCCAACAGTCCCTCAGATAAAATTGGTCATATTAATGTGTGTAAATTGGTTGCAGCATTCGTCAGGATAGTCACTCACAATTGGAGCCTGGTGATTGTTGGGAACCCAAGCATATAATTTAGATAACTTGAAAAGGAAGATATTTAACCCTCATATTTCAAGACAGACCATAGCACCTCTATTTACAGCACACTGTATTATAGTTATCAAGGTTCACTTAAAACCCACCAATATATAATATATAATAATGTGGAGTCCTGTAGCTCAGTGGTAAGAGCACTCGCCAGGGTGAGAGACCTGGGTTCAACTCCTGGCAGTGGTCCTGGAGTCGAGGGTGGAGGCAGAGAGATAGAGTTGGGTGTCATCCGCATACATGCGGAAGATGACCCCATGTCTGCGAATGATATCACCAAGAGGGAGCATGAGGGAGTGTCAAGGACAGAGCCCTGAAGAATGCTGCACGAGATGGTGCAGAGGCTGGAAGAGAAGCTGTTTGTAGAGACAAAATGGAGACGGTGTGAGAGGTAAGATCTGAACTATTCAAGGACAAAACCATGAAGGTTGAAGTGAGAGGAGAGGCGGTGGGTACGTGAAACATGCTTTAGTTGACAGAGAGACTGGGTGGTGTGGGTCGGGGGGTGGTGGGGAGGAAGATCACAGGAAGTCAAAGAGATAGGGTGGGGCAAAGCAGTGTAGGCATTTGTAGATAAGAATGAAGATCATAAAGTCGCAGTTGATATTAAGGAGAGATTTTATCCTCACTGCCTTCTCTCTCCACTTGTGTAAATATTTCACGTTTCCTTGGGCTGATCACGTACAGGAAATGTGTTCATCTGTCTGAAGTCTAATTGAAAGTGAACAAATTGAATTGTTGGTAAACTTTAATTGCTTTGGCAATTCAGACTATCAGACAGTGTGATTCCCTTACCTCTAGCAGCGCTTCCTTGTTTCGGTCTCCCATCTCTGAAGTTTCTCTTTTCCCCAGCAGGTAATTCTGTCAAAACCATAACACATTTGTGAGTGACAGAGCAGCAAAATCTATTGAAACATTTCTATTGTGGGTATCATTAATCCATGGAGGCCTATTAACTGTGGTATTTCCTGACTTCAAGGGGGTTTTAGATGGACACATAAGGTAGGTAGGTACAAGGTCACATCATAACAGCCAGGAGTTAATCTGGTTAAACTCTGTAATCAATGCTCTGAATGAAGGAAACAAGAAGCAAACAAGTATTCTTTATACAAAGAGTTGTAAGAATGTGGATTCCATTGTCCCAGAAATCTGGAGATTAAGAATTGATTGGGATGCTTAAAAGGGAGACAGATATTTGGGAATTGGGTGCTCCTTGGCTTTATAAATAGAAGTATAGAGTATAAAAGCAAGGAAGTTATGTTAAACCCTTACAAATCGCTGGTTAGGCCTCAGCTGGAGTATTGTGTCCAATTCTGGGCACCACATTTTAGGAAGGATGTCAGGGCCTTCGAGAGGGTGCAGAGGAGATTTATAAGAATGATATAGGGATGAGGGACTACATTTATGTGGAACGGCTGGGATTATTTTCCGTAGAGCAGAGAAGGTTGATGGAAGAGAGGTGTTCGAAATTATGAGGGGTTTTAATAGAGTAGATAGGGAGAAACTGTTTCCTCTGGTGGGTGAGTCTGTAACCAGAGGACACAGATTTAAGATAATTGTCAAAATAACTAGAGGGGAGACGAGGAGAATTTTTTTTTTTAGAATTTTTACCGTTTGGAATGCACTGGTTGAAATGATGGCGGAAGCAGATTCAATAATAGCTTTCAAAAGGGAATTGGATAGGTACTTAAAAAGGAAAAAAACTTCAGGGCTATGGGGTAAAAACGGGTGAGTGGGACTAGTTGGTAGCTCTTTCAAAGAGCCGAATTGCCTCCTATTGTGCTTAAGATTCTATGATTCTAAGTATCGGCATTCAGAGAAATGGAGACGAGGTGGGGATTAAAATATCTGCCACAATCTAATAAAATGATCGAACAGTCCCAATGTTTCTAGGTGTCTCCTACGCTACTATCGCTGATGGGTAGCAGATCATCTGAGTACCCTTTGGTTTGGAGAGTGGCACATTTTGTACAAAATAAGTTTCATCATGTTGGATACAGGAACACAATGGCCTGTTTAGGCAGAGGTTAAAGGAAGAGTGTGACACTTTATATTTTCAGACCAGCTGATTAATGGTGTCAGTGGAGAGGGAAATGATGCCTCCACTAGATTTCCAGTGGGGCTGTACCACGTCTAAAAACTTGAACTATAAATTATAGCCAGAACGATTCAGTTCACAGGTCTGATAGAGATCTGGACAAAAATTGTTCTTCAGATTTTGTATTCTCTTTATTCAACCTAAAGTAGCCAACCTGCTCCACAGACACTGCCAAGTGTACAAGACCAGTAGTAGACTCAACCTCCATTCCCACCACCCATCCCACATCTGGATGAATGTCTAAATAGCATTTGGTACCTCCATGAATAACGCAGCTGAGGTGGGGAACTCAATGCAGGAGTGGTAACCTGTGCAATGCTATTCCTGCTGATTTTCAATGGGATGTAAATCAACATTCACCGTTAAAATATCAAAGTAACCAAATATATTTAGCACAATTCTTCACAACATCTTTTTAGGTGAAATGGTGTAACTTATTTAAATGGATTGGCTGGACCAAAGCTAAAAATAATTTGTAATCTAAGATTTATCACATTTGTGACAAACAAGGCAATAAGACCACTAGCAGCGTGCCGGCTGCTCCTGCCAAGTGCAGATGAAAGAAAGTTCCTTGTGCCTGTGTGGCTGGCAGTCACCCCTGCTACTTAAACCCTCAGATCATATGCCATCTGAGGCTTGGCTAGTGGGCTGTGCAATCCAACAATCCAAGTGGTACCTGGATTCACTTATAACCTTCATTCATAAATGATTGCAGGAAAGCCATGGCAAATCATGCAGCACTTGCGCTCACATACATGGACGCACACACAGAACTGGGGGACTGAGGTACAAATGACTCCACCACTGCTTTGGCTGAAATCAGATGAATCAACAAAGGCCAAGGATCAAAGTTCGGCTCAGCACCACGCAACACACAGTTCCCAATTGCCTGTATCTGCCAGTCACAGGGATGAGGTACTAGAGAAGTGCTGACACCCATGGAGTATCCGAGTAAAAACAAAACAAATACTTCAGAAATTGCTTTGGAAAAAAATGGAGACCAGCAAACAAAGCACCACTGCCAAATGATGTTGAGCGACTTACATGCAGCAGTGAAAGAAACTGTTAAGTTTAGAAACAGCTAGAGAATATAAATGGGGGTAATGGTTTCACCACATGCAGCATTCACCTGAGGATTTTTGAAGAGTGCATATTTCTCAATGCGCTCGGTGAACATGAGTTTGTTCTGACTGTCCCGAGTCCAATTCAGGAGGTTCTCCACTAGATTCTCGTGATCTTCAAAGATTCGTTCTGAAATGATAGAAAAATTGAGCTTTCTGCAAGAATTCCTTCCTAAAAGATAGAACATGGAAATCCAATACAAAATTACATTTGTATAGCGTCTTTCACGTCAACAAGAACAACAACAAGATTCCATTTATAGAGCGCCTTTCACGTCAGGAGGACGTCCCAAGGCGCTGCACAGTTGGGTCATGACCCGAGCAGGGGGGAAATAGTCAGGGTGAGGGGAGGGAAGGGAGGAGAGAGGAGGGGGGAAATGGTCAGGGTGAGGGGAGGGAAGGGAGGGAGCGAGGAGGAGGAAGAGAGTCGAGAGGGGAGCTGAAGGCACGGTCAAAGAGAAGAGGAGGACGGGAGGACATCTCAAGGAGACATCTCACGTCGGGAGGACATCTCAAGGTGCTGGATAACAGGGGGAACAAAATAACATGGGGAACAAAAGCACAGAACAAACACTAAAAGTCTGAATATTCTACTTGCTGATGGTCAGTTAGGCTAACGGTTTCTGAGATGAAGTCATTACCGAGTCCATGACAACCAGTGTGGTCAGTCCCATTGTGTAACATTTACACCATAGCTCACATTTGCATAATAAAACTATCTAAATCCTTCTCGAAACTGTCAACACTACGTGCCTCCGCTATGCCAATCAGCAATCCATTTCACATATCATCAGCTTTTGCATGATGGAATTGAAATCTTATTTCAACTATATTTTGTTGGTCACTGATGCACCTTTTTCAAAGTCAAGATGTCTCCACTGTAATGCAGATGACATACCTGCCGCAAAATTTCAGGTAGTTTTGGATGCTTCACGTAAACCCACGATGAGAATACAACAAATTTTTTATAGTACCTTTCATGTCAGGAGGACATCCCAGGACTCTGACTTCATGGCTTGTTTTTGTTATAATTATACACCTTGAAGGCTAGTGTGCTTTCCTTGCTACTCCACACTGATGGTTTCAAAGAGTGATCTTCTTCTGTCCCCAGCTCCTTTTCCTGGAATGTATCTCACTGTCTTTTGCCATTTAACGTATATTTTCAAAATGTATTCCTCTGACCCAGTTTCCTCACTTTACATTTACTCACTTTAAATAACAACCTGCTGAAGCACTCAGCCTGCTTATCAAGTTAAAATGTACGAGCTATTTTCGTTCTGTGGATATGTTGGAGTAAAGAATCTGATTTGACCAAAATTCGCAAAGTCATTGTAAATTAAATCACAAGTTGACTACTTGCTAAACTGGGTGTGGGGATAGCAGAGAAGATTTTATATTTAGAAAGCTCCCACCCATACTAGGAATCCCAGACCTCAGCTTGGCATCCAGCAGATAGCTTCCCACCTTTGCTTACTTGCTGTTGCTGGTGCAGTCACTCCAAATGATGGGTTTTACTATTACATTGGTAGAGACATGCACAGGTCACTTGCCTAGTCTTGGATGAAAGAATGTGCAGTGATGGGTTGGGGGTGGGGAGAGAGAAAAAAGAAAATTCAGCAGCATTGAGATACATTCACTGTGACATTGCTTCTCTTCTGATTGTTCCCAAAAGGTTAGTGTAGGTTCATTAATATTTTAAGGCTACATTAATGTTTTAAATTTTAATTTTTCAGTTGATCCCTTTGTTTAACATTATAGTCCACAGTGTACACAGGAAGTATGTATCCTCTCAAGTACGTACTTCAATCTGGATCGTTCCCCAGAGCACGCCAGTAATCCCCAAATCTGTTAATATAGGGAAGCAATTTGTACAAAGCCTACAGATTCTGCTTCCCTCTATGGAGATGCCCATTTCCCACTCCCCCAGCTCCTGACTGAAGCAAGCAACTCTCAGTTTATGGAGGCACAGATACAGACACATCTACCAGCTATGACTATTCATCTGTCCTATTTTACAGCCCAGAGTGAAAACGAGACAATGAAGCAATGTTAGTATTCATGAAACGGGTCTACCGAGCGGCGAGACGAATAAGGTAAAACAAAGCAGAAATGTGAACATTCAGGATTTTGAAGCTTTTGTTGATTACATTTTTAATAGCGCATACTCTTCAAATTGAGAGCTCTGGGATTTATTGGGATTACAGGAAAAATATCAAAAACAGAATAAACTAGGAATTGGTCATCCCCAACTCACCCATTTGTAGCTCAGGAATAGTCTCCACCAGTGACCAATCTGAGCTGAATCCACAGTGGGACTTATCCATCAGGTTGCCCAAAACCTGCCGGACTGTTTGTCTTTCATCAACCATCATTGTTTTGGAGCTGTCATCGGACATGTGGACCCGTATAACCAGCTGGGAGGACAGGAGCAAACAAGTTAGTCAGCTTATCTTTACACTTTATCTCAAATAACCTCCACCACATTCCAGCAATTGTGTGCTACGTTTATACTGCACATTTTATGGCAACTTGCTGTGATTGTGGTGGCAATTCACTGCAAAACCATACTACATAAATGGTGCCTGCCCCAGCCCACTTATAACCTGTCTGGCTAATCGTCCCTCATCTTAATCGACTAAAAAGAACATAGAGGTTATCACGCAAAGAGTAGAGGAAATCTGGAACTCTCTCCTCCAAAAGGCTGTGACTGCTGAATCCATTCACATTTTCAAGATTGAGGTGGATAGAGATTTGTGAGGTCAGGTTATAAAGGGATATGGGGCAAGGGGAGGGTAACTGGAGTTAAGGTATAGATCAGCCATGATCTTATAGAATGGCAGAACAAGCTCGAGTGGCTGAATGGGCTACTCCTGTTTCCATCTCTGCTCAAGATTCTGGTGATGGCACCCACAAAGGTGAAGAAAAATATTGAGTGCCTTGCCTCAACAATCTCAATGCAAACTAGGAATTGCAATCTGATGCAATCCCCTGGCCCCCACCACTGCTAAACAACAAAGTCTAAAAAAGCCTCAGTCTGTCCAGCACTGAATGCTCTGCAGATGTCAGGCTAGTAATAATAATAATAATAATCCTTGCATTTGATATAGCGCTTTTCACGTCTTCTAGACGTCCCAAAGCGCTTCACAGAATATGCTGTAAAGTGAATTGACTGTATATTTGTGGGCGAACGCGGCAGCCAATTGCGCACAGCAATGTCCCACAAACAGTTGTGGTTTGAAAATGACCAATTTATCATTGTTTTCTTTTTTGGAGGGATTATTATTATTAGGCGTGTGGAGTAAGGAAACTTGCCCAAGGTTTCGCCCGGTCTGGAATTGAACTCAGGTCTCTCACTTGCAAAGCGAGTGCTCTAACTACTGAGCTACAGGACTCCATGTAATGTAGTACCAGTAATTACCCCCGATTCCACCACATCATGGGGTAACAAAAGCTGTGATGGGGCACAGAACAACTTATAAAGAGCACATAATCTCATAGTCCAAGATGACACTCCAATGCAGATACTGCAAAACTCCAAAACTCCAACGTCCATAGAATTATCAAAGACACCGACTCAAGCGCGTAATGATTTAGGACTGGGCCTAAAGGCGTTTCCATTTCACATAACTCTCATGTGAGAGAGGTAAATCCACCTTTTTGTACTCACCTTTTTGATTTGTGCTTCTTTGATCTTCTCTAGCGCCACCCTGATTTTTTCTGCTTTCTGCCTGGCCGCCTGTTCCTCCTGCAGAGACAGTGTGCAAATTAGCACGAGTCAGAGCACCACCAGCATCAGGGAAAACACCCAGTTACTGGCACTTCAGAAGGGAAAACAACTCTCGCCAGGCAACCACCACTGTCTTGAGAGCTCAGCACATGTCTCACTCAGCACCATAAAAGCTTGGACTGTTACATGGAGGTTTACGGGATGTTAAAACTACAGATCACAAATCAACTGCCAATCATATTGACTTCATTTCTAATTAACCTTATTTTGCAAAGAACAGAGACATTTATTTTACGTGAAAGCCACTATATCAATGCAAATTAGTCTTGTTCCTCCTTGACTTGATGAAATTCCTCACCTTGTCTTCCTTGCACTATGTATACAGTATGTTCTTTCCAATAGAACAAACCACATTATCTATATGGTAAATGAAATTAATTCAAACTTCATCAGCAACAGCAACTTGATTGTCTACAAGACTTACACTGGGAAAGTCTTTCACCTGTATTTTGTTAAGAAAAAAAAGTAGCAGAGGACAGGACAAAAGTTAAACTCACAACACTCTGGCTTTAAAGGTTGAATCTATGAACATGCAATACAAAACACACGGTCTGTATCCGTTTACCTGCATCTTTCAGTGTGATGCTTAACCCTTTGCAGCCCAAGAGCATGCTCTGATAGAGACTGGGTGGAGCTCAAGCTGTGCAGTGAGCAACAGGAAGCAGCAGCTGGGCCAATTCAGGGGCATGCCCATCATAAATATAATCCCTCGCTACAAAAGACTGTGAACGTTTACAATGGGTACCCATGAGCTGAAAATCCAATTAAGCAAAAGGCAGAACACCTCAGCCACAGGCTGCTGCATTAAAATTGCTGTGACATTTAAAGAAGGGATAAGTTCTTTACCCTCCGCCCCCTTTTTTTTAAATGTTGAATTATTCACAAAGAGAATCGGGCAAATATTCATTCATTGCATGCGAGTCGGATAATATCACACGCTCAGCAGGTGCTAGAGCTCTTCTGGGCTTCGTCAGATTTCTACTTGGTCATAAATGGTTGATTTCTGTGCACTTAGCTGAGAGAGGAGACTACTGGGAAGACCCAGCCTCCAGTCCCAAAGAAAATCAGCCTCCAATACACAGCATGTGCCACTGAATTAAATGTGTTGTACCAATCAAATAACTGATCCAGAACCAGTAGATGAAAATATGGTAATATACATTTATCCACAAGTGAGTTTGCAGACTCGTGCACAAACTGTTGCTTATCCTGCCCTGCAAAACAAAATGGCTTGTGGAGCTTCACCAGCCTAAGGACTGTCAAGTGAAATTGGTCATGGGTGTGGGCCCATGCAGTGCTTAAAATGGCTGCTAAATTTGCCTGTTAAATAACAGCCACAATACAATAGGGATTACTGTGAAGTGCTTGGAGATGTTTTAGCGTGATTAATTGCTATAAAAATCCAAGGTCTTTAATCTCCAAAACCCTGATCAGAATTTGTGACAATCATGCAGCTCTTAACACTGCATTTTCTTCTCCCAGCCTTGAAGACAGCAGATCAATGTGGTTTCCTCCAATGTGATTGGTGAGTTGGAGTTGGGTCTTTTTCCGAGGGGCTGAGCAGATTTGGAGGAACAGGGAAAAGCACAAAGACCACCCAGCTACTGAAAAGTAGGGAAACGGAACTATAGTTGCCATAGACATAATGGAGGAGCAGAGTTAATGGGCCAGATGGCTATTTCTTCCTCAATCTGAGGAATAGCCATCCAACAGGCCATATATTGATAACTCAAGTCATTGACTTTATAAAGGAGGAAGGTCCATGGTTTGATTTTGTCAGCTGGAATACCATTATGGATATCCGCACCTTAGTTTAGGGAGAGGAAAAATCTTGTTCTAGCTGCTGCTGGACCTCACACATGTGCACAACACGTGAGCATCGGGCTCAATGTTCTCTGTTGAAGTTCAGAAAGGAAGAAAAAGCCCGCAAACTATAATCCCCCCACCCCAAAAAAAAGTCAAACACCTTTAGGAGCAGAGGGGGTGGTGAGAAAAAGAGAAAAATTGGCAAGTAAATAGACAGTTCATTCTAAAGTCGGTCAGATTCTGGCATGAAGTGCAGACCTCAGAGCAGCTCGTGAACGCAATTCGCGCCACCTGCACATTTTAACAAGTGAAATAACCAGCGCAGAAACACAGCAATCTGTCTTTCCAAAATTCAATCAGACTTAGTCACCGCTGTGTAAATGTAACATGTAGCTGGAAACAGCAGGAGCACAATGTGCAGAATTCAGCACTGGAAAAGGCCTGAGCCAAGAAAAACCAGCAATGGCTCAGTTCACACCCCGTTGAGTTGACAATGAACGAGCATTCGCTCCCTGCAGGTCATCACGGTTCCCAATCCTTCCAAGCTCTGCGAATGGTAGATTCTTTGCTGTAACATTCTATGATTTTCTTGGTACAAAAGGAGGCATGGGATTTATAGGTCAGGGTCCTGAAAGGCTTTGGGCATGTCTTTTCAAGCACACTGCAGGATATTTTGGTGGATTTCTCCTGTGTTGGGCTATCAAGGGATTTATGTCCACAATAAACTTGAATTAAACCCAACATTTTGTACACGTACACAACAGTAAAAGTAGTGGCTTGATTTGGGCGTCAGATCACATCTGCTGTTATGATTTTAATATAGATGTAATGGAAATCCAAATCACTTTGTTCTGCGTATTTGACCAAAATTGCCTTATACCCATGTTAATGGCTGATCCAGATACTGTTTTCAATCATCTTCTTCACTATCTCAACTAAATCCACCTTTACACTTTTCACTATAACAACAACTTGCATTTATATAGCACCCTCCATGCTGTGCGGCGTCTCAGAGCGCTTGACAATGGTGGAGCCTGAGGCCGAGCCAGGGGGAGGAGGAAGGTGACTGTAGGCGCAGTTGAAGAGGAAGGTCTTCAGGCGCGACTTGAAGATGGGGAAGGAGGGGGCGAGGCGAAGGGGTTGAGGGTGGGAGTTCCAAAGTTTCAGGGCATAGTGGGTGAAGACACAGCCGCTGACGGTGGAGCACACCATGGGACACAGAGGAGACCGGACCCAGTAGAGCGGAGGCAGCAGGTACTGCTGTGGGGAGACAGGAGGTTAGAGAGGTTAGGGGTTGCCAAGGAATGGAGGGATATATACACTAAAGTGAGAATCTTGAAGTTGATCCGCTCTGTGACTGGGAGACTGGAGTTTGGCAAGGACTGGAGTAATCGGGGTACGAAGTTTGGTGCGGGTAAGAATGCGGGCAGCAAAATTTTGAATGAGCTGAATTTTGTGAATAGTGGATGAGGGGAGACTGGCGAGGAGGGCGTTATAGTCCAGCCAAGAGGTGACAAAGGCATGGACAAAGATTTTGGCAGCTTTTGCGGTGAGGTAGTGTCGGAGACAGCCATTATGGTGGAGGTGGAAGAAAGCAGTTCTGATCAGGGACCCGATGTGGGAGAGGAAGGATAACTGGGGATCGAACCTAACACCTAAGTTGTGCATGGGTTCGGAGAGTTTTAAGGACAGGTCTTGTAGGTTGAGGAGGTTGGAACTGTAGGATAGAAGATGTTGGCGGAAGCCAAATAGTATGGCTTCCATCTTGTTGACGTTTAACTGTAGGAAATTTGCGCTCAACCAGCTCTTGATGTCCAACAAACAAGCTGACAGAACATCAGGGAACTGGGGGTCGCAGTTGGAGATGGAAAAGTAGTTGATTGTCATCTGCATACATGTGGAAGTTAACCCCGTGTCTGCAGGTGACATCAGTGAGAGGGAGCATATAGATAAGGAAGAGAAGGCGCCCAAGGATGGATCCTTGGGGTACCCCACAGGTGAGCGAGTGGAAGCGAGTAGAAAAGCCATTTGCAGAAATGTAGTGCTGGGGGTTTGTAAGGTAGGACTCAAATCAATCAAGTGCGGTCTCACTGAAGTGGATGATGGAGGACAGGTGTTGGAGGAGGATGGTGTGATCGACAGGTCCAGGAGGACAAGGAGGCAGAGGGAGCCCTGGTCACAGATAGAGAGGATATTGTTTGTGACTTTCATGAGCATTGTCTCTGTACTGTGGGCAGGGTGGAAACCGGACTGGAGGGGTTCGAATAGGATGTGGAGGGAGAGGTGTGCGCGAAGTTGGTTGGCAACAACACATTCCAGAACTTTGACAAGGAAGGGCAGGTTTGAGATAGGGCTGAGGTTGGAGGGATCAAGGATAGGTTTTTTTTTAAAGGAGGGGTGTGATGACTGCGGTTTTGAGGGGGAGTGGGACTGATACTGAGGAGAGAGACTGGTTAATAGTGTCTGCCAGCAGTGGGCAGAGGAGGGGGAGCTGGGTCCCACCCAACTGCTGTTTTTCTCCTTTTAAGTAAAATGGAAATAAAATGAAGAGATGCGGTTTATCTTCATTTGGCTTGTAAGCTTTAGAGGTCAATGAGACTAGCGTACAGAAGAGCAAAAGAAAATTATGTGCTTTGATACAGAAAGAGAAAAAGGAGAAACATAAAAGGCATTACTGCAAACTGCAGAGGGCAACATCATAAGAAAATCACTAAAAAGCAAAAAAAATCACTTAGTCCCATCCTGATGGTTCAGTGGCTAATGCTGTAGTGAGCTGTATAGAACAGGAAGCTCTCAAGTGGAATTACTGGTCTATACTGAGTTAGGTGGGGAACAGTGAGTGGACAAGTTAGCCTCAGTGTTCCCAGTTATCACATTTTGTGCTGCTCACCAATAAGTTTGCAAGGAGTTCCTGGAACATGTTATCCACCTAATGAGGGCTCAAACCTATGCTTGTCAAGTGACCAAAAAGTGATGTCCAAGGTATCAGACTGGCTCAAGGGTATCAGATTGTCTCAGTTGGTAGCACTCTCACCTCTGACTCAGAAGATTGTGGGTTCAAGCCGCACCTCAGGGTTTGAAACTAATAGACAAGACTGATACTCCAATGCAATGCTCCATTGTTGGAGGTGATGAAGTTTCAATGCAATGTTAAACCAAGGTCCTGTCCCACCTGCTTGTTTAGGAAGACATTAAAGATTCCATGGCACTGTTTGAAAAGAAAATGGAGTTTCTACTGATGTCCTCTCCAACAATCCCCCAGATAAAATTGGTCATTTACTTTATGGATGTTTGTGGGTCATAGCTGTAGGCAAATTGGCTGCCGTGCTTGCATACAAAAAGTCCCTAACCCCAATTGTGAAATGCCTTGAGACATCCTCCTGACATAAAAGGCCCCATATCAAATGGAAGAATTTATTTATCCTTGAAATTTGTGGGGGTGGGGGGTGTGTGGGGAGAGAGAAAGGGAGGTAAGCAGGAACTCCTTGGTGCTGAGCTGACTCAAATATGACATGCTTAGCAATGGAATATCAGAATCAAATCAACCTTCTGTGCCAGTCTTTGTAGTTCAGTTTCCGCTGCCTGGTTCAGTTTTCGAGCCAGGCAGGTGCAAAACCTCACTGATGTTTTGCCCCAGGACTTGGAAGGGCGAGAGCAGTCACTGTGGGCAACAATTTTTTCTACTTGGCTCCAAGTAATCCTGCCCAGTCAAAGCCCCAACAGGGAAGATGGTTCTAGCTGGACAAGCAGCATTAAGATTTCCAGACAGTGCTCTAAATGGCAAGTTTAAGTGCTGGTTACAATCCAGCACTAACTTGTCATACACTCTGAGGTCCCTGAACTTTGGCCTTTGCCAACCTGCAGGTTATACCTCTTGGAATTAGGTAAGCAAGATGGGTTCCTCCAGGGAGAAAGTGCATACTTCACTCTAGACTCCATGCTTAGATGGCACGCATAAGTGGAACTTCTGGTTTGGATGATCTTAAAAGCCTGGTAGTGTATTTCTGCACAAATCAGACGCTTGGCTGATCAAAACAAAATTCCCAGGTTATGCATGAAATCGGCCAGAAATCCGGATCTTATCAATCTCCAGTACCCTCTGCAAAATTTGTGAGGGTCCAGTGTGAAGCCAGGAGTGGATGAAGCGATAATGGTTTCTCACACTCAAACATTTGCCAACACTCACTGTATAGATTCATATATGAAGAATGGCAACTTGAGCACTAGAGGCTCAGGCCATGCGTGTACTTCAGCGAAAGCTGCTGCCTTCAGAAAAGGAAAGAAAGGAGAAAAGGTTTTAGAGAAAAACAAACAAGATTTTAGGATTCCCAACAGTTTATATTTTGATTTTAAAAAATTGCCTTTTTAATTTCCCCAATTTAAGCAGTGGAAGCCATCCATCTGCAGCTCTGACAATCTTTGGCATACTAGTCTGAAGATAAACGTGGCCAGGAGCTTAACCATTTCCGTCTACAGCTGTAGCACTCCAGTGAAATTTTAGAAATCTTACACTGAACACACACACACAGTCTCCTGTGAACAAGGGTGTAATGTAATGGTATGGCCTGACCTCCTGGGTACTCTGTACTGGTTTGCACCACCTCACCATCTGTGCTTAGGCATTTCACTTGTAGTTAATAATGGCGGTGGGGGGGTGCAGGAGTGAGACTGAGAGGTTAACAGGACATTTAAATTAAGCGAAAGGCATGTTTCACAAGTCTATACCTCAGAATTTTCTCCGTCCCCCAATTTTTAAAAAAATAGTCCTTGCTTTCCAAAAGTAACAAGAGACAGGGATTCAAACCAAGTAACCTCCCGAGCCCAGCTTATCCCATGGTGGAAAACGTTTTAAATCAAAATGAGAAAAATAGGTTCCTATCCTCTCACTCCCCTGGTGAAAACGCAGTATTTGGTTTAACCCAAATGAGAGATGGAGATGGGAAAAGGAGGAAAATATTCAAGAATTAGCAATTGCTCGCTTCCTCCTCTCACTTATCACGAGGAGATTCTTCCTACAATCTCCCCTATCACTTGTTATTAATTAACCACTAGATCTTAAAGGCTGAGCTCATTCTCTCTCCCCGTGTTCAAATTTTTTTGTGTGTGTGGGGGGGTGGGGGGGCGGAGGACAGTAAGTTTTCTTTGAGTGCCTATCAAATATTTTCTCTCTCTGGTTGGGGCAAATCATCTTTCAAAGCGTCAATCTCCAAGTGAAAGATGAAAAGCAAACAGCAAGGCTATGAATGCATTAAGGTTAGCGAGGGCTGGCATGTCATCACAATTTCTCAGTTAGCTTTACCTCCTGTCCATGATTAAACCTCTAAAACACTTAGCAACAGTGAGGTCCTGCAGATCAAAAGTTACACAACATGCTTCGCTTCTTTCAGGAAGAGATAGAAAAGCAAATGTGACAATAATCTACATTTTTTTGAAAAAGGGGTCCTTAAGAAAACAGTGTGACCCTGATAATACTCGGGTGTACCATGCCTTATATACACTTTTGGCACTGACTGGCCATCTTCGAATACAGGCAGAAGGGCCTGTGGATGTCAGCAACATCTCAGCAACTTCTGAAAATGCTCACGAGGACAGTCACCACTGACCAACCAGCATTATTCATGCTACGTGCAGCTCAGTGATACAATCAAAAACAACCTGAAACCCAAAAGAACGAACAGTGGCCACACCATAACACCACCTGTTATTTTGTGCATTCCACCCGCTATATTTAACAGTTTGACTGTAATAATTCAGTTCTAAATGATGAAACAAACAGACACCTGATGACGAGTGGTACATCATGCCAACATGCGAGAACCCAACTCCAGAAGTCAATAGCATCTCAATTTAGAATTCACTGTTAGGCAAGAGTCATGGATTGCAGGGACGGGCAAACCCAACAATCACACGTCCCATCGGGATACACCGTCACACAGGAGAGAAACAGGACTCGCTTGAAAAGACATTGTTTAATCATTAGGACAAGTAGAGGAAAAGCAGGCTTCCCAAACACACTCCCAATTGAGAAATGTAGATAGCCTTTCACTCCATAGCCTCTACAAAAAGTGACATTGTTTTCCCTAGGTAAATAACATAATCACTTGTGCCTCATTCCTCAGAATGATACTTGAAGCTCTCCGTGGTTGACTGAAAGTGAAACCGGTTCACTTAGGCAAGGCGCAATTTGGGCAACTGCCCTTTGTGAAGAGATTCAGAATTTTCTGCAAAGGTTCAAATAGATAGGTGTCTCTCAGAATGAGAAGGAAGTGCCATGAGGATTGTTTGTTAAAGTAGAGTTCTCTTAGGTCAAGTGTGGGGCAAAAACCCAACAAAAATCACTTTCAAGGTACAGGATGGGCTCTTTCAGACTGGATATAATTGAAATGTCTGGAAAAATACACTGCCATCTTCAAATTGATCCTTCTAGGGTGCCAAGTTGGCGCTGCTCTTGAATCTGTTCTTTTTACCAGTAAGTGATACCAAGCATGTTTTATGTATATTATTGCTTCATTGTCTCAGGTTGCAGAGGCACTGATTCATCAATGTTCAAGAAAACATGTGTCTGCAGATCCTTGGTTTAAATAAAAAAAACGCCAATGGTGATCTTATGCAGACACCGCAGTGCTCACATGTGAACTGAAAGACAAAGAGTATCACACTGGATAGTGATCAGAAATGGGAATCCTGGACGATTTCCCATAACCTGATCCAGGCAGCTGGAGGCTAATTCTGGTGCCCATGATGGAAGTCAAACCGACTCAGCACAGGTCTGGAATCAAATCTTTTGGCAATAGTGAACTCTCACCAATACATCAGTACCAAATGAGGCAAATTTTGCAAGACTTAGATTTAGCTTTAGGGTTCATTTAGTGGGAATGTGTGTGGGAAAGGGTGGGAAAGGTAAAGGGAGCGGCTCACTCAACCACTTCAGATTTTTGCTGGGAGTTCTCTGTCACAATGATTTGCATCTTCAAGTGTTTACTTTTCTTAAAAAGCAAACTTCTATTTTGTACAAGAGTTGAAATAAGGAGTTAAAACTCCTCCCCACCACCCAAACACAGGTTTTCACTTATGGAAATAAATCTAGAATTTGATCTTGCTCTTAATTTTTGAGTTAGGATGAGGTGGTCAAGAAACTAGAGTTTTGTAACCAGTGCTAGATTCCCTGAAGTTACTGACATGGTTCTTATAAGAAACCACAAGACTAAATTGCATAACTTAATGGGTGAGAGATACTGAGTGTGCCATTTAGCTATATTTTAACTCTAAACAGATGATAACATACACATAACTCAACACTGAGTTGCCAGAGCAAAACAAAGACTAAAGTGGTTGCGATGACTGAGCAAAACACCTCCTTCTGAGTCATGCCCGAGAGATGCCCTTGAAGATCACAAAGGCTTGCATGCAGACACGGATCATGCTGGCTTTCTGCCACCAAATCAAATCGGAGGTTTCCGAGGTACATATATACACAAATGACTGAGGACCAGCCCATTCCATACAATACATTCCACATGATTGGAGGTGGGGGGAAGAGAGAGGGGAGTAGGAATCACAAGCAAGGAAAGTTTAAACAAGCTCTTAAGGATAACAGCCACCAAGCTACAAAACAATTGGATATGACCAGGGTTGACATAAGGCAAGGAATTTAAGGAGAGGAAAATGGGAGAAATTACGTCATTTATACACATATTAAGGGTAAGAGGGTGGGAGCAAGTCATAAGGTTATTCATTCAGATACAGGGTTTCATCACATGCAGATTGGAAGGAGCAGGGTGAGGGGGAGGGCTTCACCTTGGTCAGCAAATGAGAAGGTTTCCCGGCTATGTTTCTCAAAATGATTGACGTTTCCCTGTCCAGATAGGAATGCTTGGTGCAGGAAAAAAAAGGAAAGGAAAAATAAAAATCAGTGCAGTGATAAGATTTTTCTTTAATAAAGTGTGCAAGCATAGAATAAAAAGCAACTACCAACCACCAAATCACCGAAAAGCAACAAACAGCAGACCATCTGATACTAAACTGCTCGATAGAATTGTAAAGGATCACAAGTCCCCAATTTACAGGTCACATCTGTGTGCCTCTGATGCACATCTCAGTTCAGTCTTAAAGTGAGAGAAGGGATTTTGAGGTTATTGTAAATTGAAGTATATTTTGTTTTTGAATTTGCGTACATTTCAGTGGAAAGCAATTGGATGATAGAACAAACCTGTGCTTTGTTTGTCCCCTTAAAATTGTGCACATGTAGTATACCCATCTACATTCCCTCTATTCTCTGCTTCCCCCTGAGCTAGTCAGCACATGGTTCACAATCAACACCTCAACATTTTACTCTGGATACAAACCAAATGCAGAGCAGTGATCACAGCACATGTGATTTCACTCGCCAACTGGACCATAATTAATTATTTGTGAGGTACAAAGCCCCATTCATTTGTGAATTAAAGACCAAAAGTGTAAATAATAAAAACTTTATCATTCCTTTCCACATTTGCACATTCCACAATTTGCAGAAGAATTTAATGTTTCTGAAACTCATGTGGCTATATCACGGCTTCAATGACTTTGATATTTAATATATTTACACAAGTTTACAGAATTTTTTAATATAAATTTGGGAGCAGCCAGATGGACCACAATGATCCCTTCAGTTTTTGCACATTTTGATAAACTCCACACAACCATTGCTTCTTGGTCTAACTGGTGTTCTCTCTGCAACCTTGGTGTTACTGTAAACTGTAGGCTTTACCATTCACTGAGATCTTTCAACACTGAAAGGTAGACTGTAATAAAGAAAAAACCCGTATAATGGAATGCACAATTATTCCACTTGTTACACCCTGTTTCTCAGTCCTGTGACACTGTCTTCACACTGAAAAAATGAGTACATGACAGATGAAGCTTTTGTAACAGTTGACATTCTTCCCAATTTATCCACTGGCATGTCAGTATGAAGACTGAGAAGTTAGTCGAGCACTGCAGCCCGTGAAATCAAAGTACAAAACTTTATTTTAAAAAAGAAAGTTGAACACACTATAAACAGTTTGTGAGTTCAGTCATTTGACTCTAGGTAACCAGGAGTAATTAGTGTTGGAAAGTATTAGGAATCTTTAAATTTAATGGATGATCTGAGTTATCTGTAGTTTTGAGTTTGCACTTACACACATTCAAACCCACATCTTCAACTGTATACATTACAACAAGATAAAGTATTATACACTGGCTTATCTAGGTTACAAGTCATATTCAGTAAACCATTCACTGTTCTATGAAACAACCATCTTTCCTGGCCTCACCCATTCAAACTCTCATTTTAAAAAGACCTCTGGAAAACCCTGCAATAACCAAAGAGGAAATCACAAGTTACACAATGGGCTACTTGTGATAGAGTTAAAGGCGACAGGAAAGAAATGAGTGAAGATCATCCCTGCACAGAATCAGTCAACCTCTCTGCAGAATTATAATTTCTAACATTATTCACCATGATGTTAGAATGGGGGGGTGGGGGAGGGGTCAGCAGATAGCAGATCAAATGCTGAAAGTAGGCTTAGCTATTAGGACAATTCAGTTCACTGGGATACACAACAATACACTATATAGTTCAACAAAGTTACCAGGAAACAAAGCCTCTCAGTCACAACTCAATAATGGACTTCCCATTATAAAGGCAAATTGTTGGTCCTCTTTCACCTAACTCTTTCAGCCTCCATATAAATCCTGTTACTTACATCAACACCATGAAAAAGAATGTTTTTTTAAAAATGATCTGAACCCTGAAAGGAAACTTAATTTCAGCCCCCATCAAATTCTGTTTAAACTAAAAGCTGTTGAAGTGCTTCCCTTAATTACAAGTACAGATTTTGGAGGAAATCAAGTACAAATAATCTAACAAAGCTTGTACTCAGCCAATTTATGGGGGGGGGGGGGGAGAAGAGAGAGAAAAAAGAGGGAATAGGGAATTTAGTTCAATCCCTGCTGCTACAAAAAAAAACTCAGTTGTGGATCAGCAGTCAGTGACTCTTGTTGGAAAGTACAGTGTTTGGAAAATAGTTGGGCAGATTTGGGCTGGTCTCTGATGCCTTTCCTCCATGGTTGAACAATGATCCTCAGTATCCAGGAGCACATGTGAAGAATTGGCATTTCAGCAAGATGCTAGAGGGTTGCTGGCACAGAAGACCATACCAGAGGAGCATGAAGCATAGCATAGGCTTCAGAAGAGGAGGTGAATCCAAAAATCTTGCCCACTGACGTTAGAAAAAAACCCTCTGGTGTTCAAGAGTTCAGATTGAAAATGTAAACCCAGATCAATAATTTAGCATGCACCAAAACTCTAGACCAAGAGAACATAGAGTTGTAAATGGAAATTTCAGGATGGACACCAGGAAGTTTATCTTTACTCAGCAGGTTGTTGTACAGAACATTTCACCCACAAAGTATACACTCAATTCAGTTTAAAATTTTGAAGAAAATATAAAGTAAATTTTGGATAAGGAAGTGAGGGCAGATATTTAGGAATACTTATTTCTGAATCTTGCTGCACAGCTCCCATTCCCGAAATAAACCGTTTATCAAGGTTTAATGCTTATGCTGAACTAAAGCTGATATAAAAAAAGGTCTCTTCTGCAGTGAAGGAAAATAAGGATTATACAAGAGACTCCTTGATAAAACAATTCCAATTCAACAAGTACAGAAAAATACAGAGACTTGGCTGTAAGGATGACTCTCCATTCAAGAAAGGTTGAATTAAAACATCATTATTTTGAGATCCATAATTTAATCTCTCACCAGCTCAATAAAGGAGTGAAAGGCAATAAAGCACAGCAAATTGTCAAAAATGTCTAATTTTGAAGATTGTATAAATGTCAAAATCTAATTTCAATTTGTGTAAATGGTGTGTAATTCATCCTTTAAAGAGTATGCAGGGTACACAAGTCATTTTGCATCAGAGAGCAACCGTCAATAAAAAAAATGTACGCTATTAAGACTGTATTATAAGTTGTTGCTTAGCAACTGGTTAGTCCTTTTCATTACTGTTTTAAACTGGCTTATTGCACAAAACAGAGAGAACAATCTATGCTGATCCTGTCTTTGAGGAGACTTTGGAATTCTCCCTAAATTGTAATCGTTAATCACAGCAACATGAAATGGAGTTCTGCTGCACTTGGTTCTGGGACGCTGACATTTAATTAAAACAGTGCCAGCTCGGCTGAATTCTCTGCAAACTTCTTGCGTTGAGCCCCATTCAAAGAAAAAAGTAAAGCAAAACTATTCCATGAGACAATATTTCAGAAACAATACTGAGGCCAGCAGGAGATGGTGTGAACTAAACTGACTCTCCTCCTTTTGAAAACTCCTGCCTCAGTATTCCATTAGGAGCTAAATACTGATGATCGCAGGGTCAGGCCTTGCCCAAGCAGAGGCTGTGCAGTGAGTCAATGGATAGAGAGAAAGGAGATGAAAAAAATACTCAGGAATCCACCTGGAATTGCACTCACAACTAAAAACAGATGGCTACATTGCATCACTGGCCAGGTCTGGTGACCAATTCGGGGCCATTTGTCCTTACTCAGCTAGAGGTAAAAAGATCTCAAAAATTAAGTTTAGTTTATTTGGGCAAACATTTGAGATTGGTGGAATATGTTAATAGTTCAAAGCATAATATTGTTTCGGCGTTAGTCAGAGATTTGCAAATATTGCAGATCAACCAATGAAGATGTGGAAATGTACGCCTGGTACTGCAGCCATATCCACCAGTGTTTTGCAATCTGTGCATGGTACCACTTCCCATGTGGCCAGGTTATCTGGCTATCACAAGCATGTTTATTGAGTTATCTCAACTTCTTATGAATTTGACAAGTCCAAGAATTTATGCACACTTCCATTGGTAAAATTCCAGCTCAAGGCAATGCCAATAATTTGGGATGCGCTTACATACAAGCCTGAATCCCAATGTGCATGTACAGTGTTCAAACCTCCCTGTACTTGCCATCTGTAATAATGAATCGTTCTCAAATGATCATGTGGAAAAACAGCATTCCTAGTTACGCAAGGTTCTCTCCTGTCTCTCATTTGAATATTAAACTGCAGAATGTTCAACACAGGCAACTATGATCCTGTCCTGTTGCTGTACCAGTGCATCTTCCAACACATAGTCATAGGGAACCCAGACTGCTTCGCGCATCCATAATGGAAGGTTGCTACTGTAACTGGGATAAACACAGCAGCCCATTTGAAATGCAACTTTGATCTATATCTAGCCCTGTTCATTTGACGGTCGAGTGACCTTAACATGAAGCTCTATTATTTTTATAGTACTTTTACAGAATGCTCTTTGTGTGCTTTGGGTCTGCTCTTGGTTGTTAACCTCCTTAGCAGCTCAAAGCATAACAGGTGAAGAATAAACACCTCCAATTATTCATTGGTGAAATACACAATGTTTATCATTAGAATGAAAGTCTGATTTTATCAGTGGAACATGGGTAGTAGTCAATATTGCATGGATGTCACCAATATGTTGCTGAGTGATGCCAGAAATAAATATTGCTGTACAGAGAAATGAATGCTTTATTTCTATTGAAATAAACATTGGAACTTTCTTCTGTCTTCCTCCGTGGGGGAGGTTTGTGTGAGGGTTACAAACTTCTCCATCACTGCTGCCAACCGGGTTCTGATTGCCCAATGTTTCACCTCTCTTGTGACAGAAAATTCTATATTCACATACAATTTACTTCAACAGCAGCAAAATTGATATCTGAACATTTGATTGACTGAAGCTTGGCACTCACACTCGGATAGTCACAAGCCCACACTCCTTAAATCCCACAAGGCATGAAAAAGTTTCAACATACAAGAAATGAGAAAAGCAAGAAACT